AAAGGAAAAGGCTTCTCGACAGCTCACGTGTTCCGCTCATTCCGTTGTTTTATTACCCAGTTCTCCGATTCGCCGTCACATTTCCAACCACGTTACATAACCAGCCATTTGCATCATTGTCACACTATTGTAAACCACATCAGCAAGTTAATACATAAAGCTTTGCATTTCAAAAAACTAGACACTTTAGTAACAATATTACAAAGGTTTTAGCTTCAAAAATAACTGAAAATGAAAAAAATAAACTTTTAAAGAATTAGCATCATAAAATTAATTTATTCCAATAAAAATACAAAATAATATTATGACATTGACCAGATATGAAAGTCCCTCCCAGAAACAACTCTATTAATGATTGAGAAAGCACTCCTTAAAGAAAATACGAAATAAAATGAAAAATATGTAAATATGTTTAATTTTTTTCTTAGCAAAAAATCTTTCTAAAAATAACAATGAAAATTTGTCTCAGTACAAAGGCTACATTACTATTGAAAAAATACCAGCATGAAGAAAAGGTACATATTTGACAGTAGAAAAATGATCTCAGTGAATCACAATGTCTAAAGTTTGCAATGAAAATAAATCTGCAATAAAGATTTATGCCTTTTTTCTTTTCTTTTTTTTCTATTTTTTATACAAACAGTACAAACAGTATTGCACATAACAACAAATAGTCGAGGTTAGGTTATAGCCTTCAAAAAATCGACTAGTTCAAGTGTCACGTCAAGGAAAGGCCACAACAGGACCTGTGTTACCCAGGGGCTTCCCAGTCAAGTTGCAGGTCAGAACACCTCTGTGTTTTAAAAAATAATTGTTTTGAAGGACCCTCTCTTTGAATATAACATGAACAACTCGGGGGCACATTTATTTACAAAACAAAAGGGAACGTGTTATAATTTAATAAACTAAAAAAGTTCTCTTTAAAAAAATACAAACAGAAGAACTCTTTCACAATCCTGGTCAGTCGTGCACGATCAACGCTTGATTATAAATATACAAATGAAGGGAAAGTCGTTTCCACCAGCTATTCGCAACTTTCAGCACCAAATAGAGTTTATTTTTGTAGCCTATGCTTCATGACAATGTTTTTTGCCTTTACTTTCGCTTTATGCTGTACAGTCTTCCAGCTTTTTAAAAAAATCTCAGTGTTATTTTAGTACAGGAAAGAGGGGTGCTTCTTCAAAAAGTTTTGCTTCTTCACATAATTAGGTAGATTTCTGTAGGTTAGATATGATCTTTAATATTATAGTTATAAAGCTCTAACTTCTTCATTTTCAAAAAACACAAATAAGCATGAAAAAAATAAAGTTACCCATCTGTTAAATCATTTTCTTGCAGAATTAAATTAATATATATTTTTCTGAATAAACTTACTTAGAAAATATCATTTTCTTTCCTATATTTCAAAATTGAGGTATTGCAAAAGATCATGTCAGTCAGAAAGCATGCCTTTTTCCTTAAAAAAAAAAAATCTTCAGCCAACTTTTGAAAACTGTCTAGAATACAAAAAGTAGTAGTGCATAACAAAATTTCTTGTACAGGTGAAAAAAACCCACCAACATAGAAAAAAACAAAACAAAACAAACAAAACCACACCTGGGCTGGAAAAAAGCAATTTTACCAAAAAGCCCAGTGGTAACCTCAAAAGGGGAGGGTTCTAATAAGCAGTTTTTAATCCAGTAAAAAACTATTTTGTTTTTTCCTTTTTGAAAGCAAACTATAGCTTGAGAGGCAGTAATTGCAACTAAACACAGGAGAAAAAAACAAAACAAAAAACCAAGCAATACTAACTTAAGACAGTACAAGGACATCACAGCACATAAAACACAGCGACTTACATCTATTCTGCAGTGTCATATCCAGTCAGATTGTCCCCAGAATTCCAAAACATAGGAAGAAGATTAAAAAAAGATTGACAATAGTCTCGCAATCCTTGTGTCTGCAGCCCATGAGTGAATGCTAAGAAAATGTCCACGGTAGGACCAGCAGGTCTTATTTCTATTCAAGCTTTACAGGAGAAATTCCGGGAATTAAGTAGTTAATTTCTCACCCAGACAACCGGTTCTGCCCAGACCATCTGACTGTGTCCAGACATTTGTTTAGCATCACCGTTATGCAACATCTTACAAATGTGCCTAGTCTGTCAATCTGACAACTTCTCTCTCGATTCTGTAGATATTCTTAGTGTTTGTAAGCTAAGATGAGCTCTTTGGTTTTCTGGACAGGTCTGAAGCTAGGTAAAATGGTGCAAGCACAGGAGATTGTAACTAAGAGCTCATGTGTTAGTTAATAAGATACCAGTTATGAACTGTCAAGTTCGTTAATGTCTGACACAGAGGCTTGAAACAGGTAAGTTTGATCACAGTTAGACATCATCACTTTACTATAGAAAATAAATTGCACAATAGATAACAGAGCACCGCAAAGTACTTTGTCTACCGTCCACGAATTTGCTGTAAGATATCCTACGCCTACGTTGTCTATGGTTGTAATATAGGGCATTCCTGCGGGGCTCTTCTGAGCCCGAGCCTTCTGCTTCCCGAGGCATGCCTTCCTCTGGTCAATTACCAAATCTCTGAATGAAAACAACGTCTTTAAAAAAAGGAGTATTTTATAGCTTATATAGATTCTTAATTTGTGCATTGTGGGAAGGTTTTATACTAGACATTGGATATAAAATTTATTGCATGCAGCAACCTGATTAAGTAGACATGCAGTCGGAAATAGTGACCTTCCGTTGAAGCTTTCTGAAGTACGCTTGGGTCTCCCGTCGGCAGCTGACTCTCTCCCTAAATCGCCAGAGTGTGTTGTTGGGTTTCTGTTTTGTTTATTTGATACCTTAGCCTGAATAGAGTATCATGGTATTACTCATACCATTTTAATAGCAGCAAAAGCTATTGCAGCATAAATCGACATAACACTAAAAGATCTAACCAAAATCCTCAGCAAAACAAAAGTCAAACATGAAGGAAAAGAAAGATCCCGCTTATGAGGTATCCTTACAGGTCAGAGTGGAGCGCAACTAAAGGCTTGTTTGCATGAAGGGTTGTCCTGGCTCTAAACGGCCCGGCTAAGGACAGCTGAACTGCTGCGAAGGTTCACTACATCTGCCACCTACTCGCGAGTATTGCCTTTGGTAAGTCTTGTCCTAGGGGCAACTCTCGAGGTTTCTGAAAATAAGTGCATGCTCCAGTTGGAAAACAATCAGAACAACAACACGCCGACAAACGAAAGAAGCACAGACATGAACCTGAGGGCGCGGATGAGAAGGGCAGTCTACACACTGTCGCGAGTGACCCATCAGGTATCAAAACGTAAGGTACCAAGCAGACAAAGGTGTGAATCAAAGTGCAAATCAGTACCGTTATACACTCTGCAATTCGGCATTATACTGGACACTGAGTTCAGTAATATGACTGTAAATAAGAGTAAGAACAAAAAGACCCAATTCTTCTTTCAAAACCGAGAACGAATGCACAGATTTCCAGAACACTGTGAGCCCTGAGGCAGTGCCCTCTCTTTCCCTCCTCGTCATCGACGCCAGGACTTGCGGCCGGTCGCCCCGGCTCAGCTCCAGCGGAACGGGACGTGGCGAGGGCGGTCGCCTCCCTCCTTGACCAGCGGCTTGTGGAACTCGCGGCCGGCGCGGGAGTGGATGCTGGCCCAGCAGTACTCGCAGTAATACTGCAGGCAGGTGACATTGGCACAGAAGAACGGGGCGAACTTCCCGCCACAGCGCGTGCCCTGGCACTCGTCGCACATCTGGTCGTCCAGCACATACGGCTTTACTTCGACCTGGACCCAGGAGGAAAGAGGGAGAGGGTTAGCAGGCTTCCTCGCACCCTCCTCTTGACCTGGTGTGTCCCTGTCATTCGCCACGTGGGCTGCGGCTGATGGCGTGGGCTTCAGGGCACACGCCTTGCTTTACAAATTGGGCATTAGGCGCGTGCTTCGGCTCTCCCTGTGCCTCGGTTTGCTCTGTGTATCTGCGAAATGGGTCTGGCATCCGCACACCTTTACACGTGAGGCACACACGTCTACATACTCTGTAAATGGCCTAATTGTGTCTAATCAGAGGGTGTGGTGGGACCGACAGGCCGTGCATGTGAAAGGCATGAGCTGAATCCTGAAGGTGGCAGCGTCTGGTGGGCAGGACACGGAAGAGTACCTCAGGGAGAGGAGCCAGCAAGGACAAAAGCCCGTGAGAGGAGAAGGCAGGGCATGTGCTTAAGGGTGCTTGGCCAGAGCCAGGCCTGAGAGAGGACGCAGAGGGGGAGGGAAGGGGCTGAGCGATCTGCTGTTGTGGGGCTCTGGGCGCTGGTGCTGTGATGACAAGGCCCAAGGATCGACACCCAGCGGGACAAGGTCCTAAAGACCGACACTCGGTAGCACAAGGCTCCAAGGACCGACACCCAGCGGGACAAGGCCCCAAAGGCTGACACTCAGCAAGAGGAGAGCTCCAAGGACTAGCACCTGGTGGGTCAAGGCCTCCAAGGACCGACACTGAGCACCGCATGCAGGGCCTGGAGGGGAACCAAGGTTCCTAGCTGAGAAGCTAATCTAATCATCAGGGCTTATTGTTTGGCCTTTCTCTGTTGCCCAAGACTGGAAGCTTCAACAGAGGACTTTTCACCACAGCCCTTAGGAGCACTTTAACATCCACATGAAGCAAAGTCAGGGCGTAAGAAAACCCAAGTGAGGAGAAGAAAACCTCACCGCCGTCTTCCACAACCCTCTCCTGGGACCTCAGAAAAGAAACACCTCCCACCTGAATTTCTCCCTGAATAGGAGAACCCAGCACTAAGGTGAACAGGCTGGCAGTGCCATCCAGAAGAGCAAGCCCTGTGGCTGTGGTGACAAGGATGGGCCTTTTGGAAGTGCCAGCTGCCTGCCAACTCGGGCAGCCTCTGGATGAGACCAGGAGGCTGGAGCAAGGAGGGACACGGGGGCGGGAAGGGGCTGGACACTCGGCCCGGGGTCCTCCTTCCCCTCCCAAGGCAGCCTGCTGCCTCCCTCCAGCACGAGCTCTGGTCGCAGGTCCCTCCACCAGCCAGATGCCCCCCCCCCCCCGGGGCCCAGGGGGAACTACTTTTCCTCTGGCTTGACTGCCCTCCCTTCACCTGGTGAGCTGGCGAGTGGGCTTCAGCCATCTCTCTTACACTCATGTCTGCAGTGTCACGGAAACTGCTGGGGGAGGAGGAGTGTCGCTCTGTGGTGCACGTTAATAACTTATATATGTCTTTTCTCAAATTAAAAAAAAAAATGAAAATGCAGTGGCCCTGGAACCTGCATGGGTTCAAATCCATGTTAGTGGCTGTGCAATCCCGGGCAAGTGTTTCAGGTGCTCTGAGCCTGTTTCCTTACCTGCACACTGTGGGGAGGGTTTCCATTTTACAGGGTTCCTATGAAGCACCCGTGAATGAGTCAAACAAAGCAGAGCCCGGCTGCCCGAAGCATGGCTCGATTCCTGCTGCTTGCGTCTGTCCAGGCCAGCCCAGCCGGGACCTGGGTACCCTCAGGTTCTCTGCCTGTCTGCTGGCCACCGAGCTCCGGGGCTGTCTTGGCTCAGTTTTCCATTCGTGTTGGCACTTCACTCATTTCCCCCCGCAAGTTCCCCTCTTGGTCAAGGCACCTGGTCACCGCCTGTGGGATGAAGCTGTTGCCTGCGTACGGCAGGGCGCCCTCTCTCCTGTGCCTCAGTGTAGCAGTGGCCCTCGCGATCACCCCGTTCCTCTCCTGAAGACTCCCCAGCTCAAACTCTCACTGGTCTCAGCTTTTACCTGCACTTTCTTCCCACTTTGAATGACCTTCCTGCCCTTTTTTTCAGCCCCTCAAACATTTCACCACTCAGGGAGGCCCAGCCTTTCTTTCCTCACATAAAATTAACCATTTTAAAGGGAACAATTCAGTGGCATTTGCTACATTCACAATGTGTTCACCCAATGCCTCTATCCAGTTCCCAAACATCTCCATTCACCCCAGAAGGACTGGCTCATGCCTGTAATCCCAGCACTTTGGGAGGCAGAGGTGAGAGACCAGCCCGGGCAACTTGGCAAGACCTCAACTCTACAGTAAATAAATTAGCTGGGTGTGGTGGTGCGCGCCAGTAGTCCCAGCTACTTAGAAGGCTGAGGTGGAAGGATCACCTGAGCCCAGGAGGTCAGGGCTGCAGTGGCCGTGAGCATGCTACTACACTCCAGC